CTTACAAATAACTTACAATAGAGAATAGTTAAAAGTAATATTACATAAAAAATTATAATGTTATCTTCAAAAACAAAAACCATGTTTGTTGTTTTAAATAAATACAATCAAAGAAACTAGCAAAATTCATCAAATAAATTAAAAAAAACTTAAATTTCTGAAACCAAATTAAAATAATTAAGATTTTTCAAATACGTTATTTTAAATAACGTACAACAATAATAGTTAAAAGTAACATTGTATAAAAAAATTATGTTGTTATGTTTAAAAACAAAAACTATGTTTGATGTTTTAAATAATTACAATGATAGAAATTAAAATTTTAAGCAAATAAACTTTTTAAACTAATTAATCATAACATCAACTATAAATATCATTAAACCCTATATTATATTTAATTTTATTAATGAGTAACCCGTAGGTAGAGACCATTGAGACAATTGAGATTATAGAATTTTATAAGATGTCTACATTATCATAGAATTCAAAACAAACAATGTTTATATCAACTTATTATAAGATTTATTATATAAGAGCTAACAACAACGTCATTGATATATTTAAAAAACATGTATTTTTGAAGATTTCAAATATATTGTTATATTTTGTGCAAAATGGGAGTATTCGCCTAGTATGTATTTAAATGAAGCCTGGATGTTGTCATGTCAACTGGTGTTGCACCTTAGATTTTCGTGTGTGTGTGTGGGGGGGTGGAGGGTGGGGGTGGGGTGGGGTTGTGTTTGAGCTCCGAATACGTGATTTTCGGATACCTAAAGTAAGAGCAACAATCTTTAGTTTTTCTTGGGGAGACGTTCCAGGGAGAACACTCTGATAGTTAAGTTAACATGCAAATCTTCGAGATAATGAGGTCAATAATAATACTTTGAATATCCTATTTTCTCTCTCTAAGATTGTTACTTACCTTTTTCGGCTTTTTTGATCCCTCCATTCATCAGATCTTCTTAGTATTTTCAATTTGCATCGGAAATAGTTAATTACAAGGTTTACCTAGAATCTAGGGATGAGCATATGGACCGAGGAACTGGCCGGAACCGGTCCCGGAACCGAAACCGTACCCGAATCGGAACCCGATGGAACCGGTCGGGTCAGGACCAATACTATAATTTCATCAATTTTTGGAACCGGGACCCGGTAAGAACCGGTCGTTGGAACCAGCCCAAAACCGGGAACCGGACCGGATAACTCACTCAAATTTTGAAAGTTGCATAACTCACTCAATTTAAAGTTTTTTGACCTAAATCTTTTTCCTACATGTAGATTATGATTTGTAGTTAACTTTAGACTATAAAAACGCTTGATTTGGTTAAAAATTGAATGAGTTACAAGCCCCGCAAGGAAGGGTGTCAATTCATAATTTTTTTTATGTTTCAGCAATTAAATGTAATCTGACTTTGTTTTTCAAATGTGCATAACTCACTCAATTTAACTTGTTTTGACCTGAATCTTTTTCCTACATTTAGATTAGGATTTGTAGTTAAGTTTAGACTATAAAAACGCTTGATTTGATTAAAAATTGAATGAGTTACAAGCCCCGCAATGAAGGGTTTCAAGTTAGAATTTTTTATATGTTTCAGCAATTAAATGTAATCTGACTTTGTTGTTCAAATGTGCATAACTCACTCAATTTAAATTTTTTTTGACCTAAATCTTTTTCCTACATGTAGATTTGGATTTGTAGTTAAGTTTATACTATAAAAACGCTTGATTTGGTTAAAAATTAAATGAGTTACAAGCTCCGCAAGGAAGGGTGTCAAATCAGAATTTTTTTATATTACAACAATTAAACGTAATCTGAATTTGTTGTTCAAATTTGCATAACTCACTCAATTTAAGTTTTTTTTGACCTGAATCTTTTTCCTACACGTAGTTTAGGTTTTGTAGTTAAGTTTATATTATAAAAACGCTTGATTTGATTAAAAATTGAATGAATTACAAGCCTCGCAAGAAAGCGTGTCAAATCAAACCGGTTCCAAAATCGAAAACCCGACAAAAACCGGACTCGGAACCGGTAGAACCGCCGGTCCGGTTCGGTTCTTGATTTTGGCCGAAGTCGGTTCCCGGGTCGGGTCCGAGTCGGGCCGGTTCCAGCCGGTTCGGTCCGTTTGCTCATGCCTACTAGAATCCGTCTTGTCGCATTAATATTACCAACGCCGAAGGTACAGAAAAGTATACAAGGGTAGCATCATTAGTCATTCTTCTCTGGTTAGCCATAATACATTTAATACAACATAACTATAAATGCATCTTCATTGTGGTTCGGGTATTTTCTTGTTCAGTTATGCGGTTATTAACATCATTGGTTCTGTAAATGAGCCTTTATTGATCTTATTCGATTTGGTCATACGGTCTTTGATATATCTCATTAAGTGACAATCCACATCAGTCATACGTATAACTTAGCAGTTGTGAACATGACAACTATATGACAAGATAATTGGCATATATACATAAAAATATATAGTATACTTTTAATTATAACGTACCTAAAAAATAATTTTAGTGTAATCGAAATCTTGTAATTTTTTTTAATGATTTTTATGGCTACGAGTTTATCATATATCTATGCCAGACAATTAAAACTTTTGTTTATGAGAAAATAGCATAAAAATGATATTACATGGGGAAAGCTCTATCATAGAAAATGCATTTTATGAGAAAATAACATAAAAAATGATATTACATGGGGAAAGCTCTATCATAGAAAATGCATAGATATTGATATGGACTAATAACGATAAAGTTAAGCTATAGTTATGGCCTATACGGGAGTGTGGGGACTATTTTATGAATCATTCTAGACAAAACTTCAAAAATGGTCCTTGTGGTTTTTGAAAATATCAAGTTTAGTCCCTAAGTTCAAAAAACCTCACAGATGGTCCCTGTGGTTTCAAAACTTTTAACAAATGGTCCTTCTCGCTAACTCCGTTAGCTTTTGACCGTTAACATAAGGGTATTTTCGTCATTTTACTATGACAAGGACCATTTATGAAACTTTGTCTTATTTAAAAAAAAAGAAAAAAGAATTTTTTTTTAAATAAAGGGTCCCACATCTCTCTCTCTCACACACAAAAAGAAAGTCAAACCCCCACCAAATTGTTCTTCTTCCCCAATCTAGATCTGAAGAACACACATACATACTTCCAGGTCATATAAATACCCATCTTCTCCATTCACTTTGATTCGAAAGGCAAACCCGATTCCGTTATTTTTACCTTTCCATTCTCTCCACAACGTGAATCTTGATGTACCCAAGACAAACCCACTAACTTACCGGTGGCCACCGTGTCCTCTCGTATCTTGACCCATCAGAGTCCAAGCATACTCTATTTAAAAAATTGATATTTTTCATGCTCAAATCTTCCCAAAGCATCCTGAAGCAGAGTTATGACGAAATTCGAAGCGACATACAATAATCTCTTCGATGAGCTTGAAGAAGAGTTAGCACAAAAGGGTAAAGCTTTTTTCAACGACGTCGGCGAACAAGCAGCTTTCCGATTTCTTGTTCAGTCGTATTTGGAAACGAATTCGGAAGCTAATCAGGTCCTAGGTTTTATTCATTCTCGGAAAGAAACGAGATGTAGTGGGGGAAGGTTAAGTACACCCCAAATCACTATTTTACCAATTGTTCCTTCTTCCTTCCTCAAAGTCTGTCTATTCAGAGCAAAAAAGAAGAAGAAAGCTTACATCCCCACGAACGAACACTAGTCTCACGCATCTAGTACGTACCTACCTCATGTCTAGTCTTAGAGAAAGAACCACCTCTCATCACTGCAAACCCCATCCTTTCAATTTTAGCAGTTGATTACCTGGCTGATAAGGTCTCCTGTTTCTAGTATCTGGTTGTATTTTCAGGAGAATTGTGCTTTACGATTTTAGCCCGCCTCGTGCCACTGAACATCATGGATGGTTCGGTGGGAAGAAGATCAAGAGTTCATTAAGAAGAATGAAGAAGAAAACAATCTGATGACGATGCTTTGATAATCTTGTCGATTGTAGATCGGAACAACAACGAAGAAGATGATGAACTTAAACAGGCCTTGATTCCAAAACTCTTCGGAGATTCCACCTATTTGATCGACTCGATTGCTGTTGCTGAATTTGAAGGAAGATTGATTCCTGAATTATGAGGAAAAGGCAGCCATAGTAGACCTTCAGGGTCACTTGCAGTCGAACGCAAACCAAATGATCGAGTAGCGATTGGAGAAGCAATTAAGGTCGTAACCTGTTTCTATGAAGATAAAATGGAATGGGGTAAACGAGTCGGGTGGATGCACGGGTCAATTTTCCAATTAGGAGAGAGAGAGAGAGAGAGAGAGAGAGAGAGAGAGAGAGAGAGAGAGAGAGTGGGACCCTTTAATATTAAATAATTAGTTTTTTTAATAAGACAAATCTTCATAAATGGTCCATGTGGTAGTGAAATGACAGAAATACCCTTCACTTAACGGCCAAAAGTTAACGGAGTTAACGAAAAGGACTATTTGTTAAAAGTTTTGAAACCACAGGGACCATCTGTGAGGTTTTTTGAACTTAGGGACTAAACTTGATATTTTCGAAAACCATAGAGACCATTTTTGAAGTTTTGTCATCATTCTATTTATTATTTGAGGTTGTTAAATATAGTCGTTTTTTTAGTTTATTCATAAATAAACTAAAATTTAATAATTTTTTAATTACCATCGATTGTAGAGTAGGACTGCAAAATTATTTTTATAAAGAAAAATCATGATTTATTCTCTAATTTCTCTTCTCCAATTATCAGTTTATTACCCACTACAGTAGACGCGAACACACACGATTATTACTTACGCGTGCAGAGGTGTCATTGCGCATCACCAAACTGTCACTCCACCGCGTGAAACGCGTCTTCAACTTCCATATATAAATACAACCGCCGGAACCCTAATTCAAAACTACAGAAACTATACGACAAGTCGTAATTCCATACGCAAAACTTCCACTTCCATTCCCTTCCCAATACTATGTCCAAAAGCATTCCTGTTGATGGTGATACCATCGACGTTGAGAAAATCTTCAAGAAGTTCGACGTTAATGGCGACGGAAAGATATCCAGTACCGAACTCGGATCCATTCTCAGCGCACTCGGCACCGTCGCGCCGGAGGAAGAAATCAAAGTCGTAATGAAGGAAATTGACAAAGACGGCGACGGTTTCATTGACCTTAATGAATTCATCGAGTTTCAGCGCGGAGGATCTGGTGTTGTTGATCGAGAAGCGGCGGATAAGGAGCTTCGTGAAGCGTTTGATTTGTATGATCAGAATAAGAACGGAAAAATCTCGGCGAATGAATTGCATTCCGTTTTGAAAAGTTTAGGCGAGAAGTGTTCGTTGAAGGATTGCCGGAAGATGATTGCGTCGGTTGATGTTGACGGCGATGGTAGCGTCAATTTCGAAGAGTTCAAGAAGATGATGAGTAAATAACTTCATTGAATTCGTTTCTTCTCCGGTGTTATTCAGGTAGTTTCGCATTCGCATTCGCATTCGTATTCGAATCTAGTTTTTTTTTTAGCAAATTTAGCAATAGGATTAGCAGTAACATAACTGCTTTCATACTAATTCCACAAATCAATGTAAGTAATTCCATTAACATGTCTAAATCATCTTAGATTTAACATGTTCGTTCTAGTTTGTTACTGATTTTCTATCTAATCGAATAATCTGTTAATATGATATATCGATAGAATCTGTTTTCGTATTGCAATTCAGTCAAATTAAACAATCTTCGTTCGAACATCTTATTGATTTTCGTTGCTAATTATTGAATAGTAGTATGCAAACAAGAAGAGAAATCCATAATTTTTTTGAAGTTTTATTTATTATTTTCGATGATCTGTTTTGATTTGGTTTGCTGGAAAGAGGAAGTTGGAATCAATTATTTTCACGTAACGCGTTTTCAGTTTGTTGGCAATTTAATTATGATCACGTGAAGACGGAGTTAGTTAGGTTTCCGTTTAACTTTCAACGTGTAACCGTTTAGTTAGAATTTTTAGTTTTTAAAATTCGGTTTCCTTTTTCTAATATAAAAGAGAATATAAATATGTTTACAATTATTCTAAATAATGTAAACTAACTTTTGAATTTTGATATTTAAATCAAAAATATACTTTTTTAAATGCTGTAACTGTTAAAACGTGAGTTTGACCCAGAAATCGTGGAGAAGAAGTTGCCACTGCTAAAGTTTTGGAATTATTCGTAACGTCGTGACCTCGTAATGATGGTAAATAGTTATTCAATTAGAAGTAACATTTTATCAATATTTCACTTTAAATCTGTTAGATGAAAATAGTTATTTAACATTTAACCCAAAAAAAATAAAAGCAATATATTTTGACAAAATCACGTCAAGATCAATAAAATCACAAAGAATGAAAGTCTCAAACTGATCTATATTTATTTCCCCCAATAATACCTCGAGGAAGCATCCCTTTATATAGAAAATATTAGAGGCTACAGCTAACAAGCTTAGCTTCCAACTATAAGTTAAGCATCTATTTGGAGCCCCACAAAAACGATGGACATTTTGGAGGTTTAAAAGGATTGGTCTAGTGGGCCATCAGACAAATCCAACCAAGTTGTGGAAACGGAAATTGTTTTAAAATCGTAAGGCTCGAATTGAATGACTAGCTAGACTGGTCTGTTGGTTTGCAGGAGTGCTATTTCGATCAGTTGGCCACAACGTCGATTACCTTTGTTTGTCTTAGGGTTGAGACGATTTGGGTGAACATTTGGAATGAACTCAATCACACTAGTTTGGTAGAAATTGGTGGGCCTGTTGAGGCTTACCAGCTCAAGGTTGGGGTTTTCTGGTTCTTGTACTCGTTGGACCGATACAACTTTAGATGTATACAATACAACTTGTTGAAGCGTTACTAAAAGTTAGTTTATCTATTAGATTATTACAAGGTTTAAAGCGAATACAAAACCAAAAACTGCAAAATTATAGGCTAAAAAAATAGTTGAAAAGCTGAAATTATGTACAAACTCTAAAATCATATACAAACTCTAAAATGCACGTTCGAAAAAACCGTATGTCAATCCGACTTCAAAAGAATGAGATATGCATGTTTTAAAATTTTCACAAAATACAAAAGTCTAAAAAAATAGCTGAGAAGATGAAAAATTTTGAGCTTTAAAATCACAACTTCGGAGGACTATAAGCCATTAAATATAAATCCAAAAATGACAAAATTAGTCTCTAAAATCATGTAAAAACTCTAAATTATACGTTGGAAAAACTTGCATGTCAACCCGACTTCAAACGAATGAGATATGTCGAAATATTTGCTAAATATATGTTTTTTTAAAATCCGGTCCAAACTGCTTTTTTACCCAGAACCAGCCCAAACTGGACTGGTTTTGTACCCATACCGATTTTTCTTTCTTCATAGAACCGAGAACTGGCCCTATTCTAAAAAACTTGACCCAGTCTAGATCCGGTTGCGATTCGGTCCGATCCAGAGGTCCAAATGCTCACCCTAGAGAGGAACGAATAACATAATTCTCAACATTCCACCTTGATTTGCTCTGATAGAATTGAGTTATCCAAAGTTTTGATCATAACTAATCTAACTTTGACCTCAAAACATAGTGTTTCCAAAAAACGTAGGACCAAAAATGACATTTATGAAAGTGAGCTTTAGTATGGCCATCAATTACAAAGCTAAAGCCAATCAAAATGCCCAAAGAAGCAACTACATATCTTAATAGTAAAATGAGTTTGATCCAAACTCGAACTTCAAAGGTCAACAATGTTAGCTAATTGAGAAATCGATAATAGTGCTTTAGGAGGAATACACCAAACGCCCAATACTAGGTGTATGTGACCATAAAACATCAAAATATTCATGGTGCCAATACCTAAACACCTACAAGTGGAATTATTTTCCTAAGTTATGAGTTTACCTTCCTTTTCATCAAGTGTTCCAAAAGCAATCATAAATAATTGTCATATAACACGATCCTCCCATATTAACGCCCAACAATATTTGATCAATCACTATAATAGTAGTACTTAGAAAAATATATTCGCCTTCAAAAATGGAAAGTGTTGAAGAAGATGATCCCTTTTTATGTTTTTATTTTTATTTCGGGGCAATCCTTCTTAAAGAGTTTAAATTGTTGGTAATAACTGCATGTGTCGATAAATTTACAATTTCTTTTAGATCTTGATTTGGGTGACTTGGAATGTATTCAACACTCATCCTTACGAGAATTTTTGTCTTAACCCCAAACAATGTGTAAGATGTGGCCGATGTCTATTTAAAAACTACGCAAACCATTCATCTTGTCTTGTAGTTTTTACGAAGTAAACCTTCTTGACATTTGATAAAGTCATGATAAATCTACTATAGATTTAAGATTTACGTGGTGTTTGTTTTTACTTGACATTTGGACCAAACATCTACAGTTTGAAAGAAGAAAAATGTTTGTTTTGTAACGTGTGCAGGCTGCTAAACTAAAATTTAAATAAATTAATTTTTTGAATTAAAAGTGTTTTTCAAGACTTTTATGATTTTATTATAGACAATTAACAAATCTAGATCAAATTTTATGTATTATTGTATAAAAAATGAAAATAAAATAATACAAATTAACATGTATATATGATAAAAACCAACAAGCTTTGGTCGCAGTGTTATACATAAATATTGTAATTATGAATCAAATAATTTAACACATAAAATGGATGGAAATAAACTTCGATTTTAAAATGAAATATTTCAAAATTTTCATTTTACTTTTTCAATTAAATCAATTAAAAACTTATTATAAATATTTTTTTCCAAAAAATGGATGATACTGCGTTAAATAATGTTTTATAAACTTTGGTACGAAAAATATAAGATAATATTAGGATTTTTTTTTCATATTTATAAAAACAGCTCCAACGACCATTATTGTAATTAAATCTTTATTTATAAATTTGTCACAAAGTTCATGTTTGTGCCATCGAAGCTTTTTTTCTTGAAGTATTGTACTTTTTTCCAAATTGTATATCATAAAGTTAGAATAAATCTAAGTTAAAAAAAAAGATATATGTGTTTTTAGGCTAGAAGATGGTTGAAGAGGTTAGAAGACTCTATTCCACATCTGCGCCAACAATAGGACGCACATACCTTTTTAGGTCTGCAGTCTTCAGAAAAACAAACAGTCTGCAAAGAGGCCAAGAAGATTTACAGAAAAAAAAAAAAACAAACAACACCTTAGAAAACATGTGTACTTTTCTAGAAGGAAGCACTAAAGTACCATAGCTATTTGTTCTTCTACTATCTACAGATCCATAGACTCCATCTTCATAATCAGATTGTCAAACACTAATGTGCTGTTTGTTTTTTATGAGGCAAAATGTCTGCAGTCTGTGGACCACATCTGTAGACCTCTGCAATAGAAGAGGTGGACCAAACGTCTGCAGTCTGAAAAATGAAGACTGTTTGTTTTTTTTTAACATCTGCGTGCTACTAAAATAAACTAAAATCTAAATAAACTGATTTTTTTTAAACTTCAAAGTGATTTTTTAATATTTTTATGACTTTGTTATAAATAATTAACAAATCTAGATCAAATTTTACGTATTATTGTATAAAAAGTGAAAATAAAAATGGTACGAATTAACGTATATATTTGATAAAAACCAACAGTTTTAGTTGCAAAGTTATACATAAACATTGTAATTAGGAATCAAAGAATGTTTTAACAAATTTAGATCAACTTTGATTTTTTCAATTAAATCAATTAAAAAACGTACCATAAATATTTTCCTAAGAAATTGACGATATTCTATTAAATAATGTTTTATAAAATTTGGCACAAACAATATAAGAATATATTATGATTTTTTTTCATATTTATATAAACAGCTTCAGCGACCATTATTGTAATAAATCTTTATTTATAAATTTGTTAAATATATCATGTTTGTGTCGTTGAACTTTATTTTTTAAGTATTGTAACTTTTTTTTTCAAATTGTTTATCATTAATAAAGTTGGAATAAATATAAATTTAAAAAAAAAACTACAGAAAAATAAAGATATATGTGTTTTTTATGCTAGAAGATGTATGAAGATGTTAGAAAACTCTGGTCCACATTTACGCCAAAAAAACGGCGCACATACATTTTTAGGTCTGCGATCTTCAAAAAAACAAACAATGTGCGAAAGTAATGTCTACGTGTGGTCTGCGTGGCGCAGACAAAAGAGGTCAATGAGATTTGCAGACAAAAAACAAACATCTAAGTAGTGTTTTGATGGAACCATCTCTCATCTTGTATGTAACAACTTCTTTAGGAGGATTAATCAGTTTGTCAAAGATTTCTCTAGGTATACATCTTTAAACTTGGCCAGAATATATCTAGCAGCCTTTTCATACTGATATCAAAATTTGTTAATCACCTATGGCGAGTCGTAAAGTGGTTAGTGTCATT